ATAAATAAATAAATAAATAAATAAATAAATAAATAAAATCACTGTATCATGTATATAGGAATTAAGCTAGATATACCTCAGATTCTACTTCAAGGATTTCATCTCCTGCAGAAGGAAGGTCTCTCCAGCCTACAATTCCCACTGGCATGCTGGGACAGGCCTCATGGATTGTTTTTCCATTCTCATCAAACATTAAGCGTACTTTTGCCCAACTCTTTCCAGCAACCAGAATGGAGCCTCTCCTCAAAGTTCCTCTTTGAATTATAGCTGTAGTAACAGGCCTAAAATGAAAATAAACATATATATTCATAATGCCATAATCAGGAAGTAAGCACTTTCTTAAGTAGAGCAAAGATATCTTTACGAGACTAAAATATATATACTATGTACACACAGGGTTAACCCCACTACTTCTCAAGCAGTTTTTCATACTATAAAAACATTTCTACATAATTGCCAAAAGGTAGAAGCAAACCAAATGTCCATCAACTGAGTAATAAAGAAAATTCAGTGTATACATACAATGGAATATTATGCAACCTTAAAAAAGAAAGCCCTGTCACATGCTCCAACATGAATGAACCTACCATGAGGACATTATGTTAAATGAAATAAGCCAGTCAAAAAGGACAAATACTGTATTATTCTAGTCATATGAAGTACCTAAAGTAGTCAAAATCATAGAAACAGAAAATCTAAAGATACTTGCCAAGGGTTGGGGGTTGGAAGGAGGGGAAATTAGGGTTTCGTGGGTATAGAGTTTCAGTGGGGTTTTTTTGGTTGTTGTTGTTGTTTGGGGTTTTGGGGGTTTTTTTGGGTTTTTTTGGTTTTTTGAGAGAGGGTGCAAGTGAGTGAGGGGCAGAGAGAGGGAGAGGGAGAGAGAATCCCACAAGGGGAGAGAGACAGAGAGAGAGAGAGACAGAGAGAGAGAAGAGAGTGAAGCAGGACTCACCCAAAGCGGAGTACAAGCTCACCCGAAGCAGGGCACGAGCTCACCTGAAATATATGCACAAGCTCACCTCGTGTGGGACTTGAACCTAAATTGTGAGATTATGACGTGAGCCAAAGTCAGATGTTTAACTGACCAAGCCACCCAGATGCCCCAGAGTTTGTTTTACAAGATTAAAAAGTTCTAGAGATCTGTTGTACAACAATGTGAAAATACTTAATATTACTGAACTTAAACATGGTTAAGACGGTAAATTTAATGTTATGCTTTTTTTTTTTTTTTAATTTTTTTTTTTTTAACGTTTATTTATTTTTGAGACAGAGAGAGACAGAGCATGAACAGGGGAGGGGCAGAGAGAGAGGGAGACACAGAATCAGAAACAGGCTCCAGGCTCTGAGCTGTCAGCACAGAGCCCGACGCGGGGCTCGAACTCACGGACCGTGAGATCATGACCCGAGCCGAAGTCGGACGCTCAACCGACCAAGCCACCCAGGCGCCCCAATGTTATGCTTCTTTTATCACGCTTTTAAAAAAAAGGAAAACAAAACACATTTCTTATCAGCTTATGGCAGTGGAGGATGCAGTTAGCTGAGTGTTCTGACAGAATGCTAATCCTCTTTCCGTAACTAATTTGTTAAGAAGTGAAAACCTCTTGCTGATAGGGAGAAAAATTAAAGAGAAGAAAAACCCAAAGACCTTCCTGGATAGAATATTAATGGGTAAGGACATAAAGAATTTAAAACCCTGAGGGCAACATTTGCTATTTCATTCCAATTTGTTAGTCTATGAGGCTTTATTTATCAATTCAGTTAAGTCAGTGGAGAAAAATATCCAAACAAACTGAACTACTTACACCATTAAATGTGACTAGGAGATATATAGATAGTTGCTATGGCTACTGGTAACTGCATTTAAAACAAATTTTTTAATGTTTATTTATTGTTGAGAGAGAAAGTGTGCAAGGGTGGGGGGGGGTGTGCAGAGAGAGAGAGGGAGACACAGAATATGAAGAAGGCTCCAGGCTCTGAGCTGTCAGCACAGAGCCCTATGTGGGGCTCCAACTCGCGAACTGTGAGATCATGACCTGAGGCGAAGTAGAACGCTTAACTGACTGAGCCACCCAGGAGCCCCTGATAACTAAATTTTTATGTTCCATGTGCTAATGCAATAAAATGCTTTTCAAAACAAATGCTTTGAAAATATTGTCCATGTCTAACAATAATATGCAATAAAATAATGCACTGTTACATAATCAAGCCACAAAAACAATGAAACAAATTATTAAAAAGCAAGCATTTTAACAGTCCTACCCTCTTCCTTTGTCCGTGAAAGATTCTATTACTGTTCCTTCTACTGGACCATTGAGGTCTGCCTTCAGTTCTAACATTTCTGCCAGAGCAATTGTTGCCTCTGCCAAAGCCATCAGATTATCGCCCTTTAATAACAAAAAAGGGTGTTAAGATACATAAATAAAATATTATCTGTAAATGTAAATACCAGTGTCAGAAAGCGAAATAATCCTAAACAGTTATATCATACTTTTCTCTTTAAGCATTAAACGCATGAATCACCCAATCAGAAAGAAGGAAGGAGGCCAGGAAAGGAGGAAGCGGGGAGGGAGGGAGGAAAAAACAAAGGAAGGAAAAGCAAGAAAACCTGATCCAGGGACATATCTTTCAAGAAAGAATGGCGATTTTCTTTTCTTTTCTTTTAATGTTTATTTATTTTTTAGAGAGGGAGAGAGAAGAGAGAGAGACAAAGCACGAGTGGGGGAGAAGCAGCAAAACAGGGAGACAGAATCTGAAGCAGGTTCCAGGCTCTAAGCTGTCAGCACAGAGCCTGACACGGGGCTCGAACTCATGAGCCATGAGATGATGACCTGAGCCAAAGTGTGATGCTCAACCAACTGAGTCATCCAGCCACCCTAAGAATGGTGATTGTCTTAAAAGGAGGCCCACTAGTGGTGCTTATTAATACCCCTTCATAAATACATGCTTCATGCATTCTCCTCCATCTGTCTCTACCATTGCGTTCTCTTCCTTTCGCTTTCTTTACAATGCTACTTGACATTTGAAGTTCTAGCCAAATGAATAAGCTTTCACATCTATTATTTCATTCGATCCACTCAAGAATGCTGTAAAATAAGTAAATCAAACATTACTTACTCTTATTAATAAGGAAAAAAAGTACAAACTAGACCCAGTGTCTAAGATACACTCTGTAATTACCCAGCTGTGTAACCTTGAAGAATCAGTTCACCTCCCTGGATCGCCTTTCCTCAACTGGAAATGAGGAAGCTTGATTAGATGATTCTTTCACCTTTAATGATCTATGGTTACTAGGCATTCTAGGGCTCCAAGATCACACAGCTGATTAACGGACGATGGAACTCAAACTGATGGGCAAGGGATTTTTCCACTCTCTGTCAGTTAAGAGGCTGCTCAGTTGTCAGAGTATAAAACAACGGAGACAAGTTGTTTGTAAACAATACAAAACAATACTTTCCTTACCCATCCAAATATTCCCAGTATTGATTTAAAGTTACAAAATGCTACTCTGAAAAGTAGAGCTGGGGTGTTTCTTTGCATGAAATAGTCCTCTATCTCTACTTGGAAAAAAAGGCCTCATCTTTCTTTCTGCCACACCCTCCCAGTTCCCTCCATTCCCCAGAAATCATCTCTGCCATGCATAAGCAGCTTTACATTTACCTACTCATCTCAAGGTATCTGGGCAGAAAAGGTGGCTGTGTCTTCAAATGTTTTAATCTTGCCATCTGGCTTTCAGAGTGCAACAGCAATTGAGGTATAGTGGAAACATAATAAAGCAAGGTGGCATTTCAGAGTTTCAGAGAAAAAGAGGCCTGGCTTCAATATCAATGAAGGCATGATTGCTAAGCATCCTAGAAGTAACAAATTTAGGAAAATTAAAGATAAAATGAGACTTAATTAGAGGAAGGTGGCCAAATACAGTACCATCCCCTCAGTAAGTGATCTGGAAAAAAAAGTATTGTAGATTATATATGAACCATGGAACATGATAAGAATGGACAAAAAAGGAAATTGTTACTTAGCAGCAACCTGTACAGGAAAAGAGAACTGCAAAATGCTGTCACAAAGCAGGTACTCAGCTTCCTTGGTGTTTTTCAATCAGAAAAGAATAATTGGTCATTTAAAGGAAAATGGAGAGGCACCTGGGTGGCTCAGTTGGCTTTAAGCATCCAACTCTTCATTTCTGCTAAGGTCATGATCTCACAGTTCCTGGGATCTAGTCTCACTTCAGGCTCTGCACTGACAGCACGGAGCCTGCTTAGGATTCTCTCTCCCTCTCTCTGTCCCTCTCCCACTCACATTCTTTCTCTCAAAATAAATAAATAAACATTAAAAAAAAAAAAGAAACTGGAATTCATCATAAATAACAAAACTTATGGCAATTTAATTCATGGAAACATTGAATCAATCAATAACAAACTGAACCCAAATGTTTTATCTTTGTATTAGTGAAATTTTTATGTTTAAATATCTCTTAAATGCCCTAAAACCTATTCTGTAATTTTTCAGTATAAAATCAAGTACTTTTTATTACAAACTGGATTTCATTTCTGCTTAAAATAGTCTTCAGCAGCTTACTATTACGCTATGCCTACAACATCCACCATGTATTCTTATACTTAGAATAAGCATTAGGAGGCACCTGGGGTGGCTCAGTCAGTTGGGCATCTCACTTTGGCTCCGGTCAGGATCTCACTGCTCGTGAGTTCAAACCAGCATTGGGCTCTGCACTGACAGCTCAGAGCCTGGAGCCTGTTTCAGATTCTGTCTTCGTCACTCTGCCCCTCCCCTGCTCGCTCTCTCTCTCTCTCAAAAATATAAAAAAATGAAAGATAAAAAAATTAAAAAAAAAAAGAAAAGAAAAGCATTAGGTCTGGACTTGATCCCTGACTGTTCTGTTGTATAACCCTAGACTGGTGACTGACCTCAGAAAGCCTAATTTCTTTTTTTCTTTCTTTTAATGTTTATTTATTTTTGAGGTAGGGGACAGAAAGAGAGGGAGAGAGAGGTTCTGAAGCAGGCTCTGGACTATCAGCATACAGCCCGACAGAAGGCTTGAACTCACGAACTGTGAGATCACGACCTAAGCCAATGTCGGACAATTAACTGACTGAGCCACCCGGGCACCCCAGAAAGTCGAATTCCTAATCTGCCAAACCAAGATAATGATGCTAGCCTTGCCTAGTACACAAAGGGTTTTTAAACAACAGAAATTATATATGTCCAGATGTTCTTTAGGTATAGTCCCCTATGTGCATTATGAACAGCAGTCCCAACCTAACACATCATCTCTGAGGTGCCTGCACTTACCGTGAGTGCAGAGATGTGCACTGCTTGAACGTCACCTCCATAATCCTCACACACTACATCATGAGCTAGCAGTTCTTTTTTCACTTTTTCAGGATCAGCCTCAGTTTTGTCACATTTGTTTATAGCAAGGATGATAGGAACTGAAGAGTTAAAAAGAATGCAAATGAGGATACCTTCAATTCCAGGTATTCACAGTGAAAGACACCAACCTTTTCTAGCTTTCTCTTTACTGAGTAGATGTACTAAACTACAAGAAAGACCTAAAAGACCTGCTTTAGACCCCCTCATCTTTCTGCACATAAAGGAGGATTCTGGATGTGAGATGTCAAAATTGTAATTATAAGCAGATTCTGAATTAAGAATAGATACCTAAGATGAAAACAAACAAACAAACAAAACAGAATTTGGGTAGAAAAAGGCCTATCTGTAAGCCTGAAAGCAAGATCAGCAATTACACTGAAGATAATCTGCAGAAAGAAAATTAAAAAGTCCAGAAAAGATTCTAATTCAATTCTAACACCACTAGATCATTTGCCTCTTCTTTTGAGGAGCTATTAACTCATTGAAAGCCAACATCTTACCCTGGGCTGAAACGAAGTAGCACTGTTGTAAACTTTCTTTCAGGATTTACCGCAATTCTTTATTAATATATACTTTAGTAACTGACATATAGTAGATTCTCAATAAATGTTTACTGAACAAATGAACCAAATAATCTTATAATCTACTTGTCTTGATCATTAGACAAATCACATAAAATGCTAGGAGATAATTCTCTGGTTGGGTTTCACCAACTGTGCTACAATTTTCTCAGGTATCAAAGGAAGAAAAATTGAAAACAGAAACAAAAAAGTTATCCACAACCTACTATTATGAAAAAGTACATTCCATATGGATGAGATGGAACTTAAGGGACAAGAGAACAGGAATAGAAAGCATGATGTAAGAAATTTATCCTATCTCAACCAACTGCTTTGCTATGGATCCCTGGCAAATTTATCACCCTCTTCTTTTTGTTGTAATATTCCCTATGTTCATTAAGAACATAGTCCATTCCACAAAGGCAGTTTTGAAGAATTAAAAAGAAAAGAGAGTAACACTGGAAGCTAAAAGAGCAGATTTCAAATGTGGACACGTTGCAAATTAACTGTAACTGGAGGCAGTTCCTGCCATTCTCGGTTCTTAGTTTTCATGCTGTTAAGAACTGGCGTAGACAGTGATTCTCAAACTTTTTTTTCTCTTGCCAACAAACGTAAGGGAATATGATGCACTCCATCAAGGTACATTTTCTCAAGATAACAGTATTTTCTCAGTGAGTGTAGGGTAATATCAGAATAAGAATGAATGAACAAAGTATGTGTGGGGGGGGGTAGTAGCTATTACCACAGTTTCTAAATGGAGAAGTGATTTTTAAAAAGTTTCAATTTTATACCTCTAAGAATTTATGTAAAGCATACGAAGAAAAAGTTTCTCTTTAGAGAAGAATTCAAGATAATAAATGAACAAGGAATAACAGAATTAGAATATAACCATTTTGCAACTCCTAATGTTAACAGGTGATGGGTATGTGGTTTATTATTCTACTCTTACCTTTATAATTATTTAACATTTCCATAACAAAAAAGTTTTTAAAAAGTCATCTGTGGTTATTACATTTTCACACCATGCCAACTAAGTAAACAGTATTACAAGGACTGTATTTATGGTCACAGGTCCCCAGCTGACTCCTGCTACACTCTTTTTAGTAGTTACATCTGTGGGAAAACAATTCAATCATCTTTGAGCTGTATCTGTAAACAGGCATAATAATCCTGGAATTGCCAGGTAGATTAAATGAGCTACATGTACAGGGCACCAGAATAGTGACTTTTTGTAGATCTTTAAAAAAAAAAAAAAAAGCAACTGCTTTCCTGATACACATAATCAGCCACACAGTACCTTGAGCATCTTTGGCATGCTTAATAGATTCTACAGTTTGTTTCAACACTCCATCATCTGCAGCTACGACCAATATGACAATGTCAGTGACCTGAGCACCTCTGGCCCTCATTGCTGAGAAAGCAGCATGTCCTGGAGTATCAAGAAAGGTGATCTTTTCCCCAGAAGGCAAAGACACTGTGGAAACAGAAATCCAAAAATACTAAGGACTCAAATGTGCGCTTTCTTAATACAAAGGAATATATGTGAAATTATCAAATAGAATCAATAATTCCTTAAAATAATTTATTCCTCCCATTAATTTTAATTGGGAACAATACAAATCATTATTTCACACTGAAAAATGATAACAAAGCAGTGAAACCTTTAGTATTTTCATGTTATAATTTCAAAGTAAAACTTTTTATATTTTTAGAACGTATTTTCATAAATGTACCAACTGGTATCTATTCTGGAGAGAGAACAGACTGATAGTTATATAGGAAGTTTCCCTTTCATTAGCTACACAATTGCCTTAAGCAAAAGGCAATTTAGTACAGAGTAGCTCAGGATTTGAGCCCAAACCCTGCCTTGGATGTAAATCCTAGCTTTGCCATTTATTAGCTGTATATCTCAAACAAATAACCTATCCAAGCCTCAGCCTCCTTATCTGTAAACAGGGGTATTAATACGTACTTCGTGATGTTGTGAAGATTATAAAAATAAAGCATATAAATAAGGGGCTCACCACACCACACACCACAGTGCTGGGCACATGCTAGTTGCTCAGTCAGTAATGGTAGCTGCTATTTAATTATTATTATGAACATTATTGTAACCAGGCATTGAACAATTTTAAGTTCATTAAGCCAAACTAAGAATTGCCAGAATAAAAATATAATTTTCTTCTTATAGAATGTACAAAATAAGCTTTATTAACCAGCTGCTCGATATTTCATCAGACCAACAGCCTTAAGCTTTAGACTTTCCTTTTACTTTTAATTTGTGTATCTCACGTTAGGACACTTGGTTTAAGAAAACAGTACGTGGGATTCCCAAGCACACTGTAAGGTAATTTGGGTCATACCAAGAAAGGCACCAATGTGCTGAGTGATGCCTCCAGCTTCCATTGCTGCCACTTGAGTTTTTCGCAGTTTGTCGAGTAACGTCGTTTTCCCATGATCAACATGGCCCATTACAGTAACAACTGGGGACCTTGGGGTTAATAAAGCTGGATCTGCCTGAGGCCTACAATTAACAGCAAAGGAGTTTCATTTCTTAAATATCTTTATAGCCAATGAATTGGTTTGCAGTCATCTCTGTGAACTACCACTAACAATACAATCCAACATTCAGCTTTGATTAGATATAACTATCTTCCCCTTCCACACATATAATAACCTATGACAAAACATGTAATGACTGCCCATGCACAGTTGGCATCTTCAAAACAAGCAGAACTGAATAAAATTTTTAAATTCAGGGTCAATATATACACTCAACAAACTAAGAAAAACAACCCTTAGAGTTTGATAACCTGAATATATTTAAACACTCTGATGTTTTAAACACTTCGAAGAAAAGTTTAATCTATATTCCCATGTCACTTTAATTGCAAAAAAAATTTTAAAGCAAATCTTTCCATTATAAAGTGTAAGTAAAACTAAGTGGTCTTCTTTCCGCAATATACATGGTTAAGTTTTACCTTCTTACAGCATCTTTATTTTCTCTGACTTTGTCCTGTTTTAATTTGCTCCATTTTAACTTCATCCCCGCCTTCTTTACCACTTCTTTGATCCAGACTTCATCTAAATGTGAGTGTGCTTCAAGTGAATCTATGTCAATAGCAGTGTTCATTAAAGCTTCATATACACAATCTGGGTGGGACAGAAAAACCTTTTAGGATCATGAAATATGTTCACGAAAGTGACCTCTATTAATAAATCTCAATATAAACAGTATACTCAATGAGAGGAATTAACTATGTAAGCTGTTCCTCTGTTAACAAACCACAAATAAGCTGAAAAGAAAATAATCTTTAAAATATGATTCATTTATATTAACATTTCTACATATTCATAAATATGTGAATATGTACCTTATGAATGATCTGAGCCACCAACAAAACATTACTAGGCATATTGTATACATTTAATATTGAGCAGTTCTTTGAAAACTTGTAGTTACATATGTCATGTCTATACAAATGTGTATGTATATATAGTTGATATTCATTATTTGCAGCAGTTCTGTTCTATAAACTTGCCATGAATACTGAATTAGCAACTACTAAACCATAATTCCAAGGAAAAATATAAGGTTAGTAGGTTCCTTCAGCTCCTGGTCACATCTTCATTAGCAATCAATACATACCTAGTTTTATGTGTTTCTGTTTTAAGACACCTTATTTAATGTATTCTGTTGATTCATTAATACTGAACGCCCAGCCAAAAGCACTAAAAACAGCACATGAACAAAGCTTATCTAACACATGCATTTTCTCTGTAAAGCACACTACAGCCTTCTTGCAGTTAGTAACACTTCACCACTATGCTTAGGAGCCATTTTAATCAGCAAAATCAACAAAAAGCATAAAAATGTAAAAATGTGGCACTGAATAAGCCACAAAATGACACTTGTTTGCAGCATGAGAGCTAAAGCAAGAAGGCAGAATGTTGCCTTGTTGAACCTCAGCTAGGAATGTGTAACTGGGTAACTCAAATTTTTCACTGCTCCACACATGTCCAGGAATGACTGCAAAAGCAGTGTGAATACTGATTTTGGGGCTACAAATACATTTTAGAGAATCTTCCAATACAAAATCCTCAAATAACGAGGATCAACTGTATGTACACACACACACACACACACACACACACACACACACACACACACACACACAATCTCCGTATATACACACACATATAATTAATTAATTTACTTATGTTATCTATTTATGGTCTCCAAAAAGTCTTGAAATGTAAGAAAAATATTTACTTGGTATTCTATTTTACATAATGTACTTTGTTTTCATTTCAGTCATACTTCCTTGTGGATGATAAATGAATGTATCGGTCAATAAAATAAGTTTTATGTTTCCAGATGTTCAATCACCCTTTAAATATATATTTTGAGGGCCGCCTGGGTGGCTCAGTCATTTAAGCATCTGACTTCAGCTCAAGTCATGATCTCATGGCTCATGAGTTCCAGACCCGCATTGGGTTCTGTGCTGACAGCTCAGAGCCTGGAGCCTACTTCAGATTCTGTGTCTCGCTCTCTCTCTGCCCCTCCCCCGCTCATGTCTGTCTGTCTGTCTGTCTCTCTCAAAAACAAACACTGAAAAAAATTTTAAATATGTATTCTGAGAGACACATATGAAAGAAAGGCATCCTCAAATAAACAGAACATTATACTAAAAGAATATCCTATGCAGTAGTGTGCAGGTAAATGTTTACTCAGAAGACTCTCCAAAACAAAAAAAAAAAACACCCTGATTATTATAGCATTTCCCAATTTCCACAGTGCAAATACTCCCAGATGGTTGATTTCAGCTATCAACATGAAATCACTGAACACAGAGATGTAAAGAGATGCACAGTAGCATACCATTATATAGAATTTCCACCATATAGGTACATAGGCATAAATCACCTCAAAAACACATAGCAAAATGCAGTAAAATAAAAAGGTTTGTTTTTTTTTTTTTTAGTTTACTTATGTATTTTGAGGGTGGGGAAGGGTAGAGAAGGAGGGAGAGAGGGAGAGAGAGAGGAAGGGAGAGGGAGAGGGAGAGGGAGAGGGAGAAGGAGGGAGAGGGAGGGAAAGGGGGGGAGAGGGAGAGAGGGAGAGAGGGAGAGGGAGAATCCCAAGCAGGCTCCAAGCTGTCAGCACAGAGCCCTACATGGGGCTCTATCTCATAAACCATGAGATCATGACCTGAGTCAAAATCAAGAGTCATATGCTTAACCAACTAAGCCACCCAGGTGCCCCAAGAGTGAAGGGGTTTAAGGAGTATTTATTACCTTTGTTTATGATTTATGTTACCTTTGTTTATGTTTATGATTTTTAATGGAAGCTCACATACTTCCTTATAAATTAGCAACTCAAAAGTTGGTGCAAGCCAGCTCCACTTATCACTGACCCTATTCTGTAATAATGCCAAGAAATCTTTTCCTATATATAATCCCACAACATCCTTTCCCAAGAAAATATATTTTAAAAGAATGATACAGGGGCACCTGGCTGGCTCAGTTAGAAAAGCATGCTACTCTTGATCTCAAGGTCATGTGTTCAAGCCCCACACAGGGTGTAGAGATTACTTAAATAAATAAAACTTTAAAAAAAAAAATGATACAATGCAAATTTTCTATATGGATATGCTCTCATAGAACAATAAAATTCTAAACATATACATTATAATGAACACAATTCTAACAATGCTAAAATCCCTAATAATCCAGTAAATACTTTTCCAATATGATATCCTAAACTTTTTTTTTAAATGTTATTTATTTATTTTGAGAGAGCGCAAGCAAGTGAGTGGGCATGCACACGAGCAGGGGAGAGTAAGAGAGAGGGAAAGGGAGAATTCCAAGCAGGCTCTGCACTATCAGCACAGAGCCCTATGCGGGGCTCGATCTCAGGACTCGTGAGATCATGACCTGAGCCAAAATTAAGAGTCAGATGCTTAACTGACTGAGCCATCCAGGCACCCCTGATATCCTAAACTTTTGAAAGGTAGCTTATACAAAGATAATCTCTTTCCCTTTATATTAAATGCATTTAGCATTAACATATTATTTTATCTTTATCTAAGACTTAAATATTTACAAAGAGAAAAGTACCCAAAGCATTTCAACCACAGATATTACATCCTAAGTTATTTTAATTGACATAAAGGAAAAAATATATACTCACATTGCTAATTTAGTAGTTAAAAATATTCACCATCTTTAATTCAAATGAGAAGTAAATATAATATTAAATAAGCTTCAAATAGAGAGCTTTTATTTAAATCATGGCATATCAGTTTTGGGTCTAGAACACTGATCTGTGATTAAATTCATATTTCAATTATACTATTTACTTGGTAACACAGAGGAATTATTATAGTTATGGGAGTGTGTGGGGGGGGGAATGTTAAAAAAAAAGAATCCTCATCTTTTAGTGATAAATACAGAAATATTTATGGAATAAATGATATATTAATAATTGTCACTGGCTTCTGCATACATTATACTTACATTCCATTCTTACAGCTTTCATATATGTATGAAAACTGCCAACAATAAAAGTTTTAAAAATCAAGTATATTATCAATATTATCTATAAAATCCTACCAATATAGTTTTCCTTGGAAAAAATGTCAATGATACAGTCATATCTATTTGTTCTCTTAAAGTTTTCTAATAAAATGATTATATAATTCAACTGCAAAGTTATAAAAATGCAAGACTGGGCCAATTTTCTATTCTTTGTGAGGATGCACATATACAAAGAGTGGTGGCACTTTCAGGCTGGAAACATATTACAGTTCTAGCTCTGCCCTAGAGCTCTGCTCTAATTTACAAAATAACAATTCTTGAGAGATAATTTGGTCTGTGAATAAAAGCATGACCTCTGTAGCCATACTCCCTGAGTTCAAATCCTACTCTACCATATACTAACTGTGGCAATTATTCATCCTCTCCATGCCTCAGTTTCTCAACCTACAAATAGGGATAATAATTATACCTAACTCTTGTGCATTATGAGAATTACACGAGTTAATATACATAAAGTATTGGTACATGGTAACAGCTCAGTAATATGAGTTCTTATTATTAATTGTTTTTCTTTTTGCCAAGAGTCTGCTTCACTTGTCACTTTATTTCGCTACAATAATAGGCTATTTCTTATTTACTGAATTTTATTGTCAGCTTATAATAAAAACTCAAATTTTGCTCCAATAATCTTAAATCGGTAATAAATGCACCAAGAGTGCAATGAAGGAATTTAAAAAATGACGATGCGGGGCGCCTGGGTGGCGCAGTCGGTTGAGCGTCCGACTTCAGCCAGGTCACGATCTCGCGGTCCGTGAGTTCGAGCCCCGCGTCAGGCTCTGGGCTGATGGCTCGGAGCCTGGAGCCTGTTTCCGATTCTGTGTCTCCCTCTCTCTCTGCCCCTCCCCCGTTCATGCTCTGTCTCTCTCTGTCCCAAAAATAAATAAAAACGTTGAAAAAAAAAATTAAAAAAAAAAAAAATGACGATGCTATACATTTATAAACAAAAACAGTATTATTAAAAGTTATTACTATAGGGTGCCTGGGTGGGTCAGTCAGTTAAGAGTTAAGCACCCGACTCCTGGTCTTGGCTCAGGTCATGATCTCATGGTTCATGACTTTGTGCACTGGGTCCAGGCTCTGTACTGTCAGTGAAATTCTCTCTCTTCCTCACTCTCTCACTCTCTCCTGCGTTCGCACTCTCTCTCTCAAAATAAATAAACTAAGCTTTAAAAAAAATTTACTACTACAAATATTTTTCTGCTGGCACTACAGATATTGTCACAATGAGTGAAAAAAGAAAATCAGGGGCGCCTGGGTGGCTCAGTTGGTTAAGTGTCTGACTTCCGCTCAGGTCACGATCTCAGGTCATGGTCTCACAGTTCAGGGTTTGAACCCTGCATTGGGTTCTGTGCTGACAGCTCAGGGCCTGGAGCCCACTTCAGATTCTGCGTCCCTCTCTCTCTGCTCCTCCCCGGCTCATGCATGCACACACGCTTTCTCTCACTCTCTCTCAAAAATAAACAAAAAAAAAACAAAAAGAAAATCAGAAAATTATAGAACAACAAAAGGATAGTAAGTATAAATAGAGTACTTCAGACCAAAAATATTCTTTGGATTCGGTCTGTGTTGAGCGTGGAGCCTGCTTAAGATTCTCCCTCTCTTCCTCCCTCTGCCTTTGCCCTTCTCCGGAGTGCTCTTTGTCTCTCAGAAGAAAAAAAAAACAAAACAAAACTCGGGGCACCCGGGTGGCTCAGTTGGCTAAGGGTCCAACTTTGGCTCAGGTAATGATCTCTTAGCTGAGTTCAAGCTCTACCATCAGGCTCTGTGCTGTCAGTGCAGAGCCTCCTTCAGATCCTGTCTCCCTCTCTCTCCACCCCTCCCCAGCTCGTGCTTTTTCTCTGTCTCAAAAATAAAAACATAAAAAAAATTTATTTTTTAATTAACCCATTAAAATAGTCTGGGGTACCTTGTTGGCACAGTTGGTTAAGTGACCAACTCTTGATCTTGGCTCAGGTCATGATCGGACAGTCTGCGACATTGAGCCCTGCATAGTGCTGACAGCATGGAGTCTGCTTGGGATTCTCTCTCTCTCCCCTCTTTCTTTCCACCCTCCCTCGCTCATGCTCTCACTTCTCAAAATAAATAAAGAAACTTAAAAGCCTACAGAATTTCTGAGAAAGAAGGGTTACTCCAGATAAAATCTTTTCCACCATTTTTGGCAAAGACAGAAGAAACTAATTAGAGTTTGTGACCTAAAGTGAAATCTAGTAGAATGATTTGATATCTTTTTAAACCATCAGTCTAATTTTCATCTTTGAATGCCTTAGTCTCAATGAAAATAAGATACCAGGTATCCCATGTTCCCATATTTTTCCTTATAAAAGTATCTGACCCACCTATGTCTTTTTCCATTGCTCTGGCCAGTTCCTCAACAGTCATTCCAATCCATACCTCCACTTCCTTTTTGAATTTTGGTGAGGACAATGGAGATTTCTGTGCTCTTTCTTCCTATTAAAAATTCAGAATGCAACAGAAGAAAGAAAAAAACTTTAAGTGACAATGTAGATTTATTCTGGAATATCTACCACAATCACAGCTCCTATTTCTACCAAGTAACACTCCCATAAGTAGTTAAACCTTAGACTAAAATTTAAAATCCTACATCCTTAATTCACTATCATACACTGATTTCCAGGTAATCAAATTCATCCACATTACTGAACAACAAAATAAAACTTCCTTTCTTCACAAAGATGTACTGCCTCAAGTGTAGCATTAAGGAATAAAGACAAAACACTCAAAATGAGTTTCTACTCAGAGCTATAGGAACTTTCACCTCAGACCAAGTAATACAGTAACTAAAATCTGTAACTACCTTCTTTGTTACTAGAAGCCTATATTGAGATAGAGCCGCGCCAACGAATGGGTCTATTTGCCAGGGTCGGATGCAGAGCTGAGCTGTCCCCACTGGGTAAGCAGATGAAAACACAGGACTCCACTGTGCTAACATTCTTCTTTGACACAGGCCGTGCAGCTGCCTAAATACAGTGTGAAATCGTATCAAGTTCTCCAATTTCAGTATCTTCTGGTTCATGTTTCCCCTGGAAAAAGTTTTAAAATAATATTGGGTTAATATTAAAATCAAGTTAGCAGGTATTAATTGGATATCTACTACATGAAAAGCATTGTGCTAGAGTTACATGAGTAAAGCTGGGTTTCTGCCCTGAAAAAATTCACAGTCTAATCAGATGGAATTCTAATCAGGTAGAATAACTACTCTTTAGATGTTAACCATCATTATTGGTAATGTCTCTACTATGATAGAACTGAAATAAAACTTACAAAGGGATTTTTTCATTCTTGAAACATCAACTAACAAAATCACGAGAGTGATTTTTCTAAAATGCAAATTTGAACTCATCAGCTCTTTTTGCTGAACATCCTCCAGTGGCAGGCCATTATCCCATTTCACGTGCCACTTCAACACATGTTATTAAGGATTATTTACCTGCCCTCTGCTAACCTCTCATTTCATCGCTTACACCCTTATAGCACCTCACTCCTATCTCCAAGCTTTCGTTATTTTGACGCCCTCCCCCGTAATCTTCAATGGCTTGCCATCTCATTTTTGAACCTTTGCATATGCTCTACTTGAAATTGTCTTCTTTCAACCCTCACCATTTTCCCCTCTTCCTACCACCCCCTCCCAAAAAGAAGATGCTTTAGAGTGGGAAGAGTACACTTCATACATATCTATTGAATAATGCCTTTTGAATATCATTCTTGGAATGACAGAAGACTTACTTGAGAGAAAACTGCAACAGAACTCAGTGTAGTTCAGAACTAACAAAAGTATAATTACTTTTCTCCTCGAATTTTCTATTCCTTCTGCTCTCAGGACTGCATTTCTACAGCTTTGCTTTACAGTTTTTGAGGAAAGGAGCAACTAAAATAATGTGAGGTGTACATATTCTCCTCAGCAAACATTTCCTGAGTACCATCTTTCAGACATTGTGTATGAGGATGTTGATTCAAAGTTTAATAAGCCAGAGTCCTGTCATTCAGAGTTTACTGTTCCAATATAATGATTCTCAGGCACATTAAACACCTCAAGAATGGCACATTTAAAAATTTTTATTTAGGGGCGCCTGGGTGGCTCAGTCGGTTAAGCGTCCGACTTCGGCTCAGGTCACGATCTCGCGGTCCGTGAGTTCGAGCCCCGCGTCGGGCTCTGGGCTGATGGCCCAGAGCCTGGAGCCTGCTTCCGATTCTGTGTCTCCCTCTATCTCTGCCCCTCCCCCGTTCATGCTCTGTCTCTCTCTCTCTGTCTCAAAAAATAAATAAATGTTACAAAAAAAAAAAAAAAACTTAAAAAAATTTTTATTTAGGTACGAGTCCCTGGACTAAGAAGTAAAGGGATTCCTTTAGGAAACATTTTTAAAATGAGTCTAAACATGGGCATGGATTGATGGAATGGGAAGAAAGGCCCTACATGGAGATTAACCAAAGTACAGAAAGCTAACTGAGGCAGGAATTAGAAAACACACTGGTGGCAATAATCCAGGTGTGGAAACTGGAAGTTACCTCACTTACTACTTATTCCACGCTCCTCATTTTATAGAAAAGGAAAACGGGGAGTCCAGAGAGGTCAGAAAGATTTCTCCAATGTCATACCACCAATTAATGACAGTCAGGCCTAGAACCCAGGCTGTCTGACTCCCAATTCGGTGTTCTTTCGCAGCTAGGATCTCGTCATGGAATCTGAAAAAAGATGTTGGTGGAAACGTCTGAATGTAAGACCTGTCAGCCTTGGAACTTATCTGAAAGGTAAAAAGAAGTCATTGTATAAGAATGACGGCTCTGGGGTGGCTTCGCCTCGAAACGGGCCCAGAAAGCCTTGGGCCCAGGGCAGGAGGGCCGCGCGGGAAGAGGGGGGCAGCCGGCCGCTTCTGGGCAAATAATGCTTTCGCTAAACCTCAGCTGGGATCACGCAGGGATTAAATGCAACGCGGAAAGGCTTCCGATTGCTCCGTGTTTACGATCGGTGCCACTGACACTTCAGGGCAAACAATACACGCCCCCTCGGGACGACCCGGCCAAGGAACCCCACTCACTTTGCTGCTACGTTAGGTCCGGGGTGTCCGGATTCTGAGGTAAGGCGGAGATCACCTTGCGGACCGGGACTGCAGTCCCACGGTACGTTCCCGAAACGGTCCCCGCGGAACTTCCGGTACCGCCGGAAGCGGTCCTTTCCGGAATTCGGAAGTCAGAATCAGACATAGTGGCTGCGCCGGCGAGGACTGGGGTTGCCAGAGGTGTCCCGTTGCAGGCCGCGGAGTGGGGGGGGCGGTAAGCGCTACTTCAACCAGTGGCCGCCTCCGTGGATCAGCTGCGCGCGTCGTCGGCAATCACTTGTACACTTCCCTTCCATTTCTGAGAAATTACTATTACTCTGGGGTTTGAGGGGCCTTGGTGCTGAAGTGTGGAGAAATAATACGCTTTTGAAAGACACATACCTAACAAGAAGGAAAAAATGCGAGGAAAGTGGTGATAGAACCAGTTTGTATACTTAGTTAGGCGCTTTCTCTTTCAAATGTCGCCTGATTTATGGATACCCAGAGCTGGTTCCTGTGTCAGCTCCTTCCCTGTGCGTAGGCTCGGGGACGTTATGTAAACTCTGCTTCGGTTCTGCACTCTGGCAATGACAGCAGCTACTTCATAGAATAGCAGTAAGGTTTATAAGAACACCCGGTTCAGGGGCGCCTAGGTGGCTCCCTCGTTAAGCGTCCAACTTCGGCTCAGGTCATGATCTCAGGGTTCGTGGGTTCGAGCCCCGCGTCTGGCTCTGTGCTGACAGCTGGGAGCCTGGAGCCTGCTTCGGATGCTGTGTCTCCCTCTCTCTCTGCCCCTCCCCCGCTCGCACTCTGTCTCTCTCAAAAATAAATTTTTAAAAAAGTTAAAAAAAATAATACCTGGTTCATAATAAGGGTTTGCTGTTGCGAATATTACAGCCTCCTCCCAGAGCATTTCCACACCTTGAATGGACATTACGTCTTTTGGCCTGTCCCCTTGACCACAACGTCCACCACTTCTCAAGTGTATAAGTATTGTTTTATCTCTGTCCTCAAGGTCTAACACTACCCTAGGCTAATGATATGGTACAGAAGAGTTTCTTATTCAAAAGCATACTTACTGTTACCTCCCTCCCAAAATTTGGCCTCTTAACTCATGCCCCCTCTCCCCTTTTTCATTGTTGTCTTTCCAGTGCCTGCCACAGGTGTGCAATTAGTGTGGCTGAATGACTGAATGGAAACCTCCGTCCTGGATTTTTTTTTAAATGAAGCTGACACCCAAACACTTGAAAACTATAAAAGTTCATTCCATTTTGTATCATTTCACTTACATCTACAAACATCCACTGCAGTGCAATTTCTGCAAGAAATTGTTCTTTGCTCTCTTATTTGCTTTACCGAGCACTTGAAAAACAAGCAGGAGTTCATTGGTAGAATACCAAAGTAGGGGTCATATCTTTTTTCCCCAATTTTAAGTGAAAATAATCGATACTTTTCTAATGAAGATAATACTAAGGTAGAAAGTTCACAGTACCCCCCCAAATATAGAAAGGAAGTGGCTAAAAAGCAAACAAAAGAATGAGGGCAGTTAAAAGAGCAGAGGAGCCAACCTGAAAGACCTCCCAATGGCCAAAGTTGGAAACGTTTGAGCAACAAAATAAAATAGTATTAGATTATAACCCAAAGTATCAAATAAGTATGCATGCATTCATGCTGATATGAATGAATGAATGAATGAATGAATGAATGAATAGGGGAGAAGGGACAAATCCTCTCTACAGAAGAATTCTATATAATACATGTATATAACTGTCACTAGGAGGTTAAGCTTAATTCCTCTCCTCTTGAGTGAGGGCTGAACTTAGTGATTTGCTTCCAAAGAATAGAATGTGGAAAGGGAAAAACAGTAACACCACCTTAACCAACTGATCAAGGTGAACATCAGCAATGATGTCATGTTGATATCACGTGTCCCCTGAAATGATATGATGAGGACATTCATCTCTGTAGTATCCTTCCAAAAACTCACAACTCTGTAATCATGGGGACTACATCAGACAAACCCAAATTGAAGAGCATTTTACAAAATATCTGAGCAGAATTCTTCAAACTGACAAGGTCATGAAAAGCAAGAAAAGGCTATCAGAGATCAGAAGAGACTAAGAAGACATGACCAAATGCAATGTGGAATCCTGGATACAATCCTGGAACAGAAAAGCACATTAGTGGAAAAAATAGTGGAATCTGAATAAAGTCTGTAGTTAATTGTAGTACCCCAGTGTTAACTTCTTGATTTTCACAAATGTATCATAGTTAATATAACACGTAAACATTAGAGAAAATTGGGTGAGGGCCATGTGGGAATTTTCTACTGTCTTTGCAACTTTTCTGTAATCTTAATTTATTCCAAATTTTAAAGCATTTGTTAACATCTCCTTTTTGTTTTTTAGAGAGAGCACGTGCGTGCAAGCAGAGGAGAGGGGCAGAGGGGGAGAGAGAGAGAATCTCAATGTGGCTCAACCCCAAATCCTGGGATCATGACCTGAACCTAAATCCAGAGCTGGACACTCAACTGAGCCACCCAGGTGCCCCCTAGTTTATTTTAAAAAAAGAAAGTGAATCAAATCCTAAATCTTACCTATCCAGAAGTAACCACTTTTATTATTTTGGTGAACATCATTCCCTTTATCTCTGTGTATAAATACATGTACACATGCAATTTTATATAAATAAGATTCATAGTATAAAAGCTGTTTTTTATCTTTACAGAAGTATATAATGGAAACTTTCCATATTGGTGAACATAGATTTATATCATTCTTTTTAAAGTTTTTTGGGGTTTTTGGGGAGAGGGGGCAGAGAGAGAAGGAAAGAGAGAATCCCAAGCAGGCGCCATGCTGTCAGCACAGAGCCTGCTGCGGGGCTCAATCCCATGAACCGTGAGATCAATACCTGAGCTAAAATCAAGAGTCAGAGGCTTAACAAACTGAGCCACCCAGGTGCCCCATATCATTCTTTTTAAATGACTGTGAAATATTCCATTGTCTGTAAGTGCCATACTTACATAGCTACATATATGGGTTGTTTCTAGTATTTAACTTATAAACAAAATTGCAATGAATATTCTTTTTTTGTAAAGATTTTATTTTTAAGTAACCTCTACACCCAACATGGGACTCAAACTTACAGCCCCTGGATGAAGATTGCAGGCTCTACCGACTGAGCCAGCCAGGTGTCCCACAGTGAATATTCTTGTGCATACACCTCTGCTTGCCAGTTCAGTTCTTTCTCCAGAATAATGCCTAAAACTGGAAGTTCTAGTTCCATTCAGTGGAGAATGGTATTTACAATCTAAGTCCTGGATGTTAGGTGTGTTCATTGTCTCTGCTCTCAAGCTTTCTCTGTGGACAAAGCTAGGGAATATACACACACATATGCACACATTTCCATCCATATACATTGAAAACCATGACTTCTTACTAATATCACCAATTCCAATCTAAGACTAAAGTTTCACCCTAGTCTTTTCCTTTTCCACCTTTGTAAACTTTCTTTTTTGGTAGTGAGAAACTGACTTTCATCAACCATAACATATTTAATTATTTGAGCAATTTCCTTGCATGAAACCAATCTTCACTTTGGCTCCCATCCCCATCCGTGAGCTTATGTTTTCCTTGCCTCTCTTCAGCTTGGAGTCCCAGGCCAATCCGCCCTTGAAGTGGATATCCTCTTCATCCTGGTTGGATGTAAAATGTTAACATTAGGGGAAACTGAATGAAGGACATTTGGGAACTCTCTCCCCTGTCTTTGCAACTTTTCTGTAATCTAATCTTATACCCATGCAGAGTCACCAGACCACCCCTCCACCAGATTATTGCCCTACATCTGTGGATGCCTACCTTGCTCTCATCCCTAATGGCTTTAGGACTAAATTGTTGGAAAAGGGGAGGGATGCAGAAGCAGTCCTATTCCACTTCCTCTCATGTCCTTTGGGTGTTTTGTTTGTTTTGTTTGTTTTAGAGTTGTTTTATTGAGAGAAAGCCCGTGTGAGCATGCACGTGTTGGGGAGGGGCAGAGAGAGAGAATCCCGAGCAGGCTCCGGACTGTCAGACTAGGGGCTCATGGTGGGGCTCGTACCCACGAACCGTGAGACCATGACCTGAGCTGAAGTCACTTAACCAACTGAGCTGCCCAGGCATCCCAGGATGAGGCATTGTTTTTAATGTTTTATCTCCATCATCTGATTCAGTCCTGCAAGACTGAATGTCTTATTTTTGCACAACATTTTAACAGACCAGAGGGGATGCATTATCCCTGGGAAACTTAAATAACCTGTCCAGGTCACATCCTTAGTGATTGGTGAGAGGGACCTAAATTCAAGTCTGTTTGATTCCAGTGCTGTTTCTTAACCACTTCCACCTTTGAAGAACTTGAATTGAAGATCTTTAGGGTCTTATTCAGCCTTGAAATTTTACCTTTTGAATATATGAATATAAGCATTTTTCAGTTTAATTTGTTATCAACCTGTACTCCGTGATATGTATTAAATCTTTGTTTCCATTAGTATTACCACTGCTATTAAAACTCTTTATGGAAAACAGTAAGAGAAACAATTTTGTATGTTTTGAGTGGAAAACATGATATTAGTCTCCAGTAACCTCTAATAAGAGCTATGCCAGTGCTGATTAAAGATACCTGCATTGGATTTTCATCAAAAATGAGATAGTTCTTTCTTTATCACTAGCATCCAAATTACATAAAGCTTTTCTGTGGGTTTCCTCTTGAGTCTCATCAACTTCACTGATTTATTTATATACACAATTACATCTCCTTAAAATGTTTTTTGGTATAGGGTCTTTGATTTTATTCTCTTTGGCTTTAATGAGGTATAATTGACAAAACTGTAAGATATTTAAAATGTACAACGTGATAATTTGATATACATACACATTGTGAAAGTATTCCCCTCCATTGAGTTAATTAACACATCCATCACCTCATATATTTACTTTTATTGATGTATTTATTTTTTGGTGGGAACAAATTTCAGTCATAAATACAGCATTATAGGTGTCCAACTTCAGCTCAGGTCATGATCTTGCAGTTTGTGTGTTTGAGC